GCGCGCCCGCCGGTGCTCGCGCTGGCGGACGCCCGCGGCAGCCCAGCGCGACTCGCCGCAATTTTATTCACAGAAGACACGTTCGAGTGGGCCGACATGGCCCCGCCAGAAGAATTTCTCAGGTCTCAGCGCGACGGTCCGCGGCGCGCGCGCGCGTCGGGCGTTGCGCGATTTGTGCAGCGGATTGCGCGCCCGCAATGATCAGCAGATCGCGGCGCTCGAGATGCTGGCGCAGTGCGTGGCTCTGTCCACGTGGGCACGCGCGCTCGCCGGCCGCCGCGTGGTCTTCTTCTCAGACAACAGCGTCGCTGAGTGCACTTTCAGGAAGGGCGCCGCAAAGTCACGCGACCACAATTTTCTCGTGCACCAATTCTGGTCGGCGGTAGAGGCGCTCCAGGCTCCAGGCAGCGCGGCAACCGCGCGCCGCCAGACACGCGCGCGCGGCCACGCCACCGCGGAAGGTCTACGCGTGGATAGAGCGCGTGGAGTCGGCATGGAACCTGGCCGACCTTCCCAGCCGCGAGGAGCGGGATTTGCTCTCGCGTCTGGGGGGAAAGAGGGTCCGTGCACAACTCGCGGAGGCCTTCCGCTGTGGGCCACCGCCCGCGAGTGCTGCATGTTAGTAAGACTGCCCCGCGTGCGCGCACCGCGGGGCGCGCGCGCAAGCGGAACCGGCTGCCGCGCTAGCCAGCATTGCGCAAGATGGAGCTCGCCCGCGACTTTCGCCGTAGCTTCCCAGGGCGTTTCAGCGATGCGGCGGCGGCCGAGGCCGCGGCTATACGCGTTCGGCATGGCTGCTGTTCTCTCATGCAGCTGCAGGGGCGCGGCGGCGAAACCGCCGGCCGGTGCGATCGGGCTGGCGCGAGCGAAGAGCACCGTCGACTCGCGCGGGTGGCCGCGCTGGCCCGACCGCCCCCGGGGCCGCCCCCTGGGCGCGACGCGGTGACTGGCGTATCAAGAGGCGTGAAGCGTTTTCTAGGCGAGCGGCGCGCGCGGGCGCGGGTCGGCGTCTTCGCCGCACAGGCAGTGTCGCATCGGTTCGCCTCGCCCGCGATTTACACCAGTGCGGAATAAAAGGTTGCTCGGCTGGCGCGCCCGCGGCGTCCGCGCGCGCGCGCCCGCCGGCGCGCTGGGGGCGCCTCCGATGTCGCGCGCGCGGCCAGCGTGCTGGCGGAGCAAGGGTTCGAGACCCACCAGGATCTCGTCGGGGCGCAGCTGAGGTGCATCGCGGACCTGCATGCCCTGCCAGCACCCCTCCTGTCGGAGCTCGATCGCCTGTGCACCGCGGGGCCCTCTTCCGCGCGTAGCGGGGATGCGCGGAGCCGTTCTCCAGAGCGCCTGACAGCGATAGCGCCTGCATTCGAAAGGGCGATGGCGCGGCCAGGACCGCCCTCGCCACCCGTGCCAGGGGGACCGCGTCGCAACGCGCAGTGGCTTGCGTGCTCCATGCCCTCGCAGGGGGAGCGGCGCGAATGGGCGGAACGGGCCCAGAAGTCCTGGTTTGCACTATACCATCCACCAGAGCCAATCTTTGAAGGGCGGTGTGCGGTGCTGGCTCAATTTCGCGATAGACGTACTCGGACGTAACCGGCATCTCGCGCTGCCGCCCAGCGAGACGCGACCAATCCGCGCAACCCCTCCTGCGCGGCCCGCAGACTCCTATAATCTGCGGCGTGCGCCCAGGACGATCTGTTGTGCAGGTCGGGCACTTTCTCTTGCGCGGGCACGTTCCGGAATTATTGCGGGCGCGTGCAGACAGCGTGCGAAGTGCTACGCCTGGACACGAGCGCCTTCGGCAACGGACGGCTGCTCCGGCGTCGGCCCCCCGCGCCACCGCGCGCGCGAGGCCGCGCGTCGCGCGCCCAAGAAGGCCACGGCAGCCATTGTGCGGCGCGGCGGACACACGCCACGCGAACCGCGCTTCGTTCGTGACGCTATGATTGCGCAATTACTTGGCCTACATGGTCGCAGCGAAGAAGAGAAGGCGGGGCCGCCGCGCGGCATTCGCCAGTCAACCCAGCGGTCGCGCAGGTGGCATCCACCATGTTTCTAATTACGTACATATTCCTGCTTCGCCTACCATCCGAGTGTTTACCCATCCGGCGGCGCGGCAACACTCTGCGGCGCGGCCGCACGGCGGGCCGCGCCGTCTGGAAGCGCGCGCGCTGGGGCACCCGCTCACGCGCCGAACGCGCTAGGCGGAGTTGGCCATATCGGCAGACGAGGCACTCCTCTGGTTGCCAAGGCGGAAGAACAAGCCGTGCGCGTCGATACTCCGCCGGAGGTGTTGGTGCCGCGCGCGCGCCGCGACGCGCGCCGTGCACGCGCTGCCTCCGTTGCTGCGCGGCACAGCAGTAGGCACTCAGCCATTCGCGCAGTTCTCAGGGTCGGATGCCCGGCGTATCCTTCGGTCCCTATTGTCCAGGATAGGCGTGGACAGCGCCAACCTATTCGGCACCCACGACATACGAAGGTCGCGACCCGCGACCGCCCGCGCGGCTCGGCGCGCGCATCCCTCCGCCCCTCTCGCGCGCACACGGGGGCGCGCCGATGGCATCGATCGCGCGGGTGCACCGACCGCAGTAACGAAGGAACGTGGAGGCTGGGCGTCGAACGCTTACCTGGCTTACATCGACCGCGTCCGGGTCGAAAGTGAGAGGGTAGCGGCCGCGCGCAACGCCGCGTCTGACTGCTCGGACAGCTCTGACAGCAGCTCAGACACCTAGCGTGGCTGCGACATCCCGGCGCGCGCCCGAGCGCCGCGCTCCGCGTGCGCAACGGGTGAGCGGCGCACGGCGCTGGTCGCGTCGTTGCATTGGGTCGTGCTGCGACCAGCACCGAGGCCTCGTGGCGCCCGCGCCCTCTCGGCGCGGCGCAGGCTTCGGCGCGCGCCCAACGCTGCGGTTGCAGACGCAACCCAGCTACGGGTGGGCGGGGTGCTCAGCGAATTTGCGTGTATGGAACGACTTCGGCCCCTGGTTCCATCGCGCACATTCGCTGGCCCCAGGCGCGCGCGGCGGACGCAGGCGCGAGCAGTCGCCGCGCCGCCGCTTGGCTCGCGCGCGCCGCGGCGCGCCGCAGGCGCGCCGCAGGCGACGCGGGCAGGCCCGCGCGCCCCCGCGCGCGGCCGCTGCCCGCCGCGGCCGCGCGCAGGTACCACAGGTTTGTGCGTGCCTGGGGCGCGCGCCCCGCGCTCGGGATTTGACCCGCCCGTGCCCGCCCCGTTTCTCGCCCGTTGCTGGGTCGTGCTGCGACCAGCGCCGAGGCCTCGCGGCGCCCGCGCCCTCTCGGGGCGGCGCAGGCTTCGGCGCGCACCCGAAGCTGTGGTTGCAGACGCAACCCAGCTACGGGTGAGCGGGGTGCCCAGCGAATTTGTGAGGCACCCTGGAGACCTGCTCAAGCCTTCGCCTGACGCCGTGGCACATGCGGGCTGGTCGGTGCCGTTCGCTTCGCCCCCAGGGAGCCCAGGCCTTGCCAGACTCATCCTGACGCCGGTCTCGGGGGGAACGTTTTCCTGGACGGCAGCTGCTTCAAGCATCCAGTGGTTGAACGTTCAGTTCTGAATGGTGCCTCGCTATGACGGCCGAATGCCAACTTGCTGTGCGAAGTCACACCTCCTGTCTGGGCCCCCTGCCCACAGACTCCCCAGGCCGCGGAGGTCGGGGCGTTTGGAGGTCCGATTTTTTCCTTGGAGGCTGGCGCTGACTGTTTCAGCGTCTGCAAGAATTCAGGAGGGGAAAAAACACAGACACAATGAATCGTCGATTCACAGGAAAATATTGGAAAGTATGGGAAGTGGGGGGGAAGACGAAAATCCTCAAACGCACAGACAAATATGGGAAATTCTGTGATGTGTGTGTATTTATGTGTGTCCCTGGGCCCCTTTCAAGAATATTGTGGACCAGTTGTTGCTAGGCCCTGGTCGGTTCCTGTCCCCGAAGCCTGCATCTGCTGGGTTCATGATCCATGGGGTCTCGGGGGCCGGTTCGAAGATAGCCAGTCTGACCCAGGTCGATGCGCACAGGACCTTGTTGAGCAGGGCATCAGTGCGCAGGAGAGGTTTGTTCGCCGAGGCAACTAGTTTGCTGATACGGGCGCCAAGCGAGCTGCTTCCTGGCACCCACAGTTCTCGGCCGACGATTTGGGAGCGGTGAGTTAAATGTTAAGATCGCCAGATGTGTTATGGATCGTGCTACTGCTGTGCTGCCTCTTCTGTCCTCTGGTCCAGCTCGCGCCGTCCCCTTCGAAACCAATGGCACTTCGCATGTTTTCTTGTTCCCCATATCCTAAGATGGGGTTATTGTTATTACTTGGACGCCTCCTACTCCTCCTTTCTCTTCTTCTCCTCATCCTCCTCCTCATACCTAGATTTTCTCATACACAGACTTACTCATACACAGACCTACTCATACTCATACCCGATCATGTTAACTTACTCATACGCAGACCTGCTCATCCTCAGGCCTTCTGATACTCAGACTTACTCATGCTGAGACTCACCCATACCCAGATTTACTCAGGCTCAGACCTTCTCGTTGTCTGACTTAGTCAACACAGCATATTGTGAGGACGTCTCAGGCGGGGCGCTGGTTTCAGCATCCCCATGGGGAGCCGCCGAGGGGTATGACACGGTCCCGTTTGCGGCCGTTTTGTGGGGATGTCGCTAGCGGTTTACTTGTTTTCTGTCCCAACATCTTTCGCTTGAAGAGCAGATTGTGAGGATGTCTCAGGCGGTGCGCTTGTTTCAGCATCCCTAAGGGGAGCCGTCGAAGGGTATGACACGGTCCCGGTCGCGGCCGTTGGGGATGTTTCAAGCGGTTTGCTTGTTCTTTTGTGTCAACATCCTTCGCTTGGAGAGCATATTGTGAGGATGTCGCAGGCGAGGCGCTGGTTTCAGCACACCTAAGGGGAGCCGTCGAGGGGTATGACACGGTCCCGCTCGCGTCCGTTTTGTGGGGATGCCTCAAGCGGTTTGGCTGTTTTCTGTCCCAACATCCTGCGTTTGGAAAGCAGATTGTGAGCATGTCTCAGGCGGGGCGCTGGTTTCAGCTACCTAAGGGGAACCGCAAGGGGGAACTGAGATATGCTTGTGGATGAACATATACGTTTGTGCGATGTGCAGCCGAGCTGCGCTCGCGTGTGCTCGTCGCTCACGTAGACTCGCTCTTATACCAAAACTGTCATGGACATATGTTCACCATAGCACTGCCCTGAAATATGAGATGCGCATATGACTAATGTGGCTAGTCGCTCATTTAAATGTTTCAAAAACAAATGCTACTTAAAAAAAAGGATGCACAGATGGGGAGCTCCACGCAGTGAGTAATGTTTGAGCTGCCGCTCGTATTCGTCAAGTGCCCAGGCCTGTAACCTACGGAAGGCGTGTCGTCTCCCGGACGTGGTTGGCAACAGGAGCTGGGGGAAGATCAGGCAAGGGAAACACCCAGATAAAGCTGCTGTTGCTGTTAAGTTGGACCTGATCAAGCCCTTGGTCCAGTAATTGTTTTTGCGCGGCTGCAGTTTTGGCCTCTTTTCTGCAGCTTCTTGTTTGAGGTGCCGTGGATGGCAACAAACAGTGGAGGAGGTGGAGATGGAGGAGGAGGGAGGGTTCATCCTTGAGGCGGAGCAGCCCACCCACCCCCACGCTGCCGCGCCGCCCCGCGAGGGCCGCAGCTCGGAGCCCGAGGCGGCGCTCTCGCCGAAGGCCCCGCAGCCCCTCCGGCGCGGCGGCTGGCGCCCAGCCCCCGACGCGGGGCCTTCCGCGCGCCTTTTCCAGGGAGGAGGAGCAGGCTGAGGAGGAGGAGGAGGAGGAGTAGGAGGAAGAGGAGGAGAGGGAGGCGGTGGCAGGATGATGATGATGATGATGATGATGATGATGATGATGATGATGATGATGATGATGATGATGATGATGATGATGATGATGGTGATGGTGATGGTGATGGTGATGGTGATGGTGATGGGGATGGTGATGATGGTGATGGTGATGGTGATGGTGATGGTGATGATGATGATGATGATGATGATGACGAGGATGAGGATAATGATGTTGATGCTGCTGATGATGATGACGTTGATGAGGATGGTGATGGTGATGGTGATGGTGATGGTGGTGATGGTCGTGATGATGTTGATGATGATGCTGGTTATGATGAGGAGGAGGAGGAATCGGATGATGATGTTGCTGATGATGTGGCTGATGATGATGCTGATGGTCATGATGACGATGGGGATGATGATGGTGACGAGGTTGCGGATGAGGATGATGATGACGATGCTGATAATGTTGATGGTGATGGTAATGCTGATGATGTTTATGCTGCTGCTGATGATGCTCATGACGATGCTGATGCTGATAATGTTGCTACTGATGATGATGATTACGATCAAAATGATGATGATGATGATGATGATGATGATGATGATGATGATGATGATGATGCTGATGATGATGATGATGATGATGATGATGATGGTGACGCGGAGGCGCATGAGGATGGGGATGCTGATGACGATGCTGGTGATGTTGATGGTGATGGTGACGTTGATGATGCTGTTGCTGCTGATGATGATGAGGAGGAGGAGGAGGCGGAGGAGGATGATGTGGCGATGCTGATGATGATGGCGACGAGGTTGATGTGGCGATGAGGAGGATGATGATGGCGATGATGATGATGATGATGATGATGATGATGATGATGATGATGATGATGATGATGATGATAATGATGATGATGATGATGATGATGATGGTGATGGGTATGCGGATTAGGATGCGGATGACGATGACGATGACGAAGCAGTTGATGGTGGTGGTGATGATGCTGTTGCTTATGATCATGGTGGTTGTGATGATGATGACTAGGAAGACGATGACGGTGGTGCTGGTGATGGTGATGGTGATGAGCATAGTGATGATGATGGCGATGATGATGATGATGATGATGATGATGATGGTGATGATGATGATGTTGATGATGTTGATGATGACGAGGCTAAGAGAGAGGAGGAGGAGGAGGAGAACGAGGGAGGCGATGTTACGACGATGAGTCGGAGAAGGAGGAGGAGGATATGGTGATAACGGTGCTGCTGATTATGATGTTGATCACGATGATGAGTACGATGCATATGCTGATGATGGTCATGAGGATGAGGGTGAGGATGACGACGATGATGATTATAGTGAGGGTGATGGTGATGGTGATGATGTTGATGATGATGCTGATGCTGATTATGATGGTAAGGAGGACGATATGTATGATGACGGTGATGATGTGTGTGATGGTTGTGTTGGCGTTGATGTTGATGTTTATGATATGGTGATGAGTCTGCTGACACTGGTGTTGATGGTGACGATGTTGATGATGATGATGCTGATGCTGATGCTGATGATAGTGATGATGATGATGATGATGATGATGTTGATGGTGGTGGTGGTGATGGTGATTGTGATGGTGGTGGTGGTGATGGCCATGATAATGATGATAGTTATGATGATGATGCTGATGACGATGCGGATGACGATGATGGTGGTGGTGATGACGATGATGTTGATGATGATGATGATGAGGAGGAGGAGGAGGAAGAGGAGGAAGACGATGATGATGAGGATGCTGAGGAGGAGGGGGAGGAGGAAAACGAGGAGGAGGAGGAGGAGGAGGAGGAGAGGGTGGCGATGGCAGATGATGTTGGCGGTGATGATGATGAGGAGGAGGAGGAGGAGGGGGCGGACGGCGAGGAGGAGAGGGTTTCTGAGGAGTGTAGAGGAACATGGAGGAGGAGTAGGATGTGGTAGGAGGAGATGGAGGAGCAGGAGGACGAGGAGGAGGAGGATATTTGAACGCCACAGGGAAACCTTAGGTTGGTCTAGTGTAGAAGGAGTAGGAGGAGGAGGAGGAGGAGGAGGAGGAGGAGGAGGAGGAGGAGGAGGAGGAGGAGGAGGAGGTGATGTATGTCTTCGAGGTGATGGACGGCTTCCGCGAGGTGATGGACGTCTTCGGCTACCACGCCCTGGTCTGCGCCTGCCGCGACGATAGGACCGAACGCCACAACGCCCTGCGCAACCAGGCTTTTTTCGAAGCCTTGGCTGCTGGCCACGCTGGGCGGAGTTGGAGTGCCCAGGGCTGCTGCCCCAGCGCCCCGACGGGGAGGCCACCCCCAGGGGCGAGCAGGGCGGGCCCCAGGTAGGCGACAACGGCCGCCGCCTCGCCGACGTCTACCTGACACGGTGGCGCAAAGGCACGGCGGGCGCTTGGGACTTTGCCGCCACTTCCGGGTTGCGCGCCGATCTCATCGCTGCGTCAGCCGCTTCATCGAGCCCGCCGACGGTCAGGCACCAGAAGTTCAACAGGCTGTACTTGGACACCGCGCGGCTGTGCGCGGAGCTGGGCTTTACCTGCCTCCCCACGGTGGTGGAAGCCCACGTCGGCGAGTGGGGCCGCGAGGCGCGCAGGGCCTTCGGGGTCCTGGCCAAGCGGGCGGCTGACGCCACGGGGGAAGACGCCGCACCTGTAGCAGACCGACACGCCCAGCGACCCTCCATCTCCTTGCACAGGGAGAACGCGCGGGCGGTGTTGCAGCGCCTCCAGATCCAGTCTGGAAGGGCGGGGGCGGCTGCAGCCAGCTTGGCCGTTGCCACCGCTGCTTCCACGGCTGACGCCGTGTGAGCCGCCACGCTGGCGCAGCCTAGCCCCCCCCGCCCTCCCCCCACCCTGGCCGAGCAGCGCGGGCGCCCCCCCGCGCCCTTCCGTGGGTGGCGCGCTGGCGCCTCCCCACCCTGCCGGCCGTCCCTTCCTCGGCGGGGTGGTGGGTGATACCGCAGAGGTTCCCTCCCCGCCAAGCCGCAGCGTGCTGGGTTCGGTCAGGCACCCCGCGCCCTTTCCGACGCCCTTCCCGACGCCCACAAGATCCCGACCACGACGACTCCTCCGAATGAGCCCTCCGCATGGCGACCGCGACGACCCCGACGCCCAAGACACGACCCCGATGGCCTTTCCCGACGACCACCCCCGCCAACTGGCCACGACTGCATCCTGTCGCTGCCGTAGGGTCCGTCGTTTCGTCGCGGGCGGCCCTTCCCCCCCTGCCCCTGGCGCGGCCGTTTTGCTGCCCCTCCTCCTCCTCCTCGTCATCTCCCTCCTCCCCTCCCTACTTGCTGTCCCGTCTCCGCCCCTGCCCGCCTGTCTGCCTGCCTCGTCCCGCCGGCCCTGGCCTCCCGCCTGCGCGTTCGTCCTCTTTTGCTTGTCTCTCGTTTCCTCCCTCTCTCTGTGTTCCGTCAGCGCATGGGGTAGATGCAAGAATGAGCCCCCCGCGCTTCCGTGCCGCATTTGATTTGAGCCTAGCCCTTTCCGTGCCGCATTTCATTTCAGGAGGAGGAGGAGGAGGAGATGGAGGAGGAGGAGGAAGAGGAGGAGGGAGGAGGCGCAGGAGGGAGGAGGTGGAGGTGGAGGAGGAAGAGAAGGGAGCAAGCCTACCCACCTCGACGCTGCCGCGCCGCCCCTGCGAGAGCCGCAGCTCGGAGCTTGAGGCGGCGCTTTCGGCCAAGGCCCCGCAGCCGCGCCTGACGTCCAGCTCCCGTTGCGGGCCCTCCAGGGCCTCCCGCGCGCCTTGTCCCCGGAGACGGAGGAGGAGGAGGAGGAGGAGGAGGAGGAGGATGAGGACGTGGTGATGATGATGCTGGCGATGATGATGATGATGATGATGATGATGATGATGATGATGATGATGATGATGATGATGATGATGATAACGGTGATGATGCTGATGATGTTGTTGTTGATGATGATACTGGCCATGAAGGTGGTGCTACATATGATGATGATGATGATGATGATGATGATGATGATGATGATGATGATGATGATGATGATGATGATGATGATGCTGATGATGATGATGATGCCGATCATGAGGATGGTGATGCTGATGACGATGATGTTGCTGCTGATGTTGGTGATGCTGATCATGCTGATGGTGATGCGGATGATATAATGATGATAATGATGCTGGTAATGATGATGCTGTCGATTATGAGTATGAGCATGATGATGATACTGATGCTGATGCTGATGCTGATGAGCAGGAGGAGGAGGCAGAAGAGGGGGAGGATATGGTGATGATGGTGATGATGTTGCTGATGATGATGCGTTCGATGATGATGACGATGCGGACGATGATTGTGATGATGATGATGCGGGTGAGGATGAGGAGGATAATGCTGCCGATGATGATGATGATGATGATGATGATGACGGTGGTGAAACTGTTGATTGTGACGGTGGTGATGATGATGATGCTGATGATGATGATGGTTGATGGTGATAATGATGTTGTGATGATCTTGATGCTGATGATGATGATGATTTCGATGCTGGTGGTGATGATGATGAGAAGGAGGAGGTGGAGTATGGAGGACATGCTGTTGATGATGATTCTGATGACGATGAACATGCCGATGAGGACGATGGTGGTTAGGATGCGGATGAGGACGAGGATGACAACGATGCTGATACTGTAGATTGTTATGTTGATGGTGGTGATGCTGATTCTGCTGAAGAGAATGATGGATATAATGATGCTGCTGATGATGATGATGATAATGCTGACGATGACGATGATGATGATGATGCTGATCATCATCATCATCATCATCATCATCATCATCATCATCATCATGGTGATGATGATGCTGATGCTGATGCTGATGATGATGACGATGCTGCTGATGATTATGCCCATGGTGGTGGTGATGGTAACAATGATGACTAGGAGTATGATGAGGATGGTGGTGATGATGAGGATGATGACGATGATGCTGATTACCAGGATGATCATGATGATGAGTATGCTGATGATGATGACGACGACGATGGCAATGACGACGATGATGCTGATGAGGATAATGCTGCTGATGGTGATGGTGCTGGTGTTGATGGTGGTGATGTTTGTGATGATGATGATGAGGAGGACGAGGCGATGTTGGGATGATGAGTATGATGATCATGTCGATGGTGGTAATCGTTGTGATGCTGATGCTGATGATACTGATAATGATGATGATGATGATGATGATGATGATGATGATCATCAATTATCATCATCATCATCATCATCATCATCATCATCATCATGATAGTGATGGTGTCAGTGGTGGTGATGATGAGGAGGAGGAGAAGGAGGGGAAGGAGATGCAGGGCGAGGAGGAGGAGATGCGGAGGAGGAGGAGGAATACCCGCTGGTGGACTATGTTGTAGTCGCAGTTGATCGCTTTCTTGGCGCGGCGGCGCGCTGAAGCCGGCCCCCCCAGAAGGCGGCCGCGCGGGCGGGGCGCGGCGCCAGGGCGAGCGCGGGGGGATAGGAGAAGGAATCCGTTCCACAGCGTTCTGGAACGATCTCGGAGTGTTTGGGACGCTCTGAGAAGGCCGCGGCGCCCGAGACATCCTCCAGATCCGCTGGATCTCAGAGATTTTCGATCTATGCTTGCCAGATTCTAGGCGCTCCGCGTATCCCCACCAGCAATGCTGCACGTCGCCCGGAAGTATTTCCTGGCGTGCGCTCTCCTGTGAGCGGCAGCGAGGCCCGCCTCCTGTTTGCCTCCCCCCTTGCTTGGTCTTGTCTCTTTTCGCTTTCCTCTTGCCGTGCGCTAATTTAGGCCGTCGCCTCTGTGCTTCGCCCCTTGACGCCGCCCGATATTCTCGCTGCGGTTCCGATCAAAAAAGCCCCAGCAGCCCATCCAGAAACGCTGTCCAGGCGAGTTGAGGTGATCAGGGGAGTGCGGGAGCAGAGAGGTGGACGGCCGAACCGTGCGAAGGGGGAGGAGGCGAAGGAGGAGGCTGGATGGATGGATGGGGAGTGGGGGGAAGGAAGATGAATAGCATGATGCTGATGATGATGATGATGACGATGATGATGATGAGGAGGAGGAGAAGGAGGAGAAGGAGGAGGAGGAGGAGGAGGGGGAGGGAGGGGGAGCAGGAGGAGGAGGAGGGCAAGCAAAAGGGCTAGAGGTTTCTTGGATGCCTCCCGGGGCCTCTTGGGATGTTTCTTGGGCGCCCGTCTAGGCGACTCTTGGGGCCTTCTTGGGGCGCTCTTGGGAGCTTGAGGGGCGCTTTGGGGGCCATCTTGGAGGAGATCGATCAAAGACGGGGGGGTCCTTCATTAGCCTCCCCCCCTCGAGGGCCCCCTGAAATCGCCTCCTGGGCCCCTTTTGGAGCGCTCTTGAGGCCGTTTGGGGGCTCTCTTGGGCCCCTCTTAGAGCCATCGGAAGCGCAAACGGCGAGAAGGCCAAAACCACCTTGATTTTCCTCAAATGTTTGAAGGATTTGGGCGCGTTGGCGGCCTCCTTGAGAGACTCCGTGGCTACTTGGAGCCGTCTTCGGGACGGTCTTGGGGCCTCTCGGAGCATGTTGGGTGTCATCTTGAGGCATGTTGCGCAGTCTTGAGCCTCTTGGAGGTCATCTTGGGCTTTCTGAGGCCCTCTTGGAGCCATCTTGGGACATCTTGGACGCTCCAACGCCTCGCGACCGCACCCCATCCAGGTCCAGGGGAGGGTGTGAGGCGGGTGGGTAAACGAAACGCTCTAAGCCACCTGCGCCCGGAGTGCTGGTGGTATTTTAGCCTCGTCCTGGAGTCGCCTTTGTCCTCCATCCTCCCCCTGTCCCCTCCCACGGAGGCCCGTGGGCCCTTCCCCCCTCCCCCCCCCCCGCGAGGCAGAGGCGGAGGCGGGGGGGCAGCCGCGGCCGCCCGCGGCGGACGAGGGCGTCGCCCAGGACCGCCCGGCCGCGGCCGGCGGGGGCGCCGCTCAGGACCGCCCGGTGCTTCCCCCCGAGGGAGAAAATAGGGGAACAAACAGTGACACAAACATAAAAGCGCGGAGGTCCGCGCGGATTTCTCGGATCGGCGCTGGACCCCCCTCCCTGGCGCGCGGAGCGCGCCAGGGGCAGCGCCGGAGGCGCCGCCGGGTAGCCCCGGCGCCGATCCGAGAAATCCGCGCGGACCTCCGAGTTTTTATGTTTCATGTAACTGTTTGTTCCCCTAGAAAAGACAGAGTCGCTCCTCTGGGCCTCCCAGGTAGGGCTGGAGCAGATGGGGTCGGAGGATCTCGCCGCAACGGCGATGCATCGCCGATGCGTTGCCGATGCGGCCCGGTGCGTTGCCGATGCCGACGTCGCCGATGCGGCGCCGACGTCGCCAGTGCATCGCCGATGTATCGACGATGCGGCGCAATCCTCAACCCTACCCCATCTAGGAAGCCTCTACGATCCGGAAGAATTGAACCTTCTGGTTTTTGGCTGTTTGAGGACTCCAGGGGGCCCTTGTCGGGCCTCGGGACCGTCAGGGAACGACACAGGATGAAGAGCCAGCCTTGGGGAAGTGGTTCAGACTTCTGGGGCCCACGCATCGAGCCAGTTGGAGCGATTGGATGTCTTGCGACATGTTCGAGAAGGACGCCGGGCGCAACGCAACACAAGCTGGAACCTTAGGAGGAGGACGAGGCTCGAGACTGAGGGGGGAGGGCTCGAGGAGGAGGAGGAGGAGGAGGCCCAGCGCAAACCTAAGACTCATCGACGATGTTGAGACACTCCCTCCCTCCAATATCCCTCCTCATACGCCCCTGCAAGGGGTCAATTCCACTGAGGGCATTTGCCCCGTAGGGGGACAACCGTCCGAACATTTTGAAGCGTGCCAGAACATTCTAAGGACTTCAATGCCACAAGTGAACCTGACTGTGACGTCTTGGCGATCCTGAGTCGCGCCAGAACGCCATTCATGGGACTGCAAAGCGGCGAATGAACGTAACTGTTGCGCCCTGACAATCCTGAATCGTTTCAGAATATTGTTTCTGGCACGCCAACCATGGGAAACAGTGAAACCCTTTTGAATGTTAAACACGAATGCTCGCCGCGCTAAGGCGAAAGCCACATTTTGGAAAGGAACCGCCCTCAATCCGTGAAACCCTTGCAACTGTTAAGAACGAATGTGCGCGGCGCTAAGGCCAGACCCACATTTTTCACAACCACCCGCCCTGAATCCGTGAAGCTCCTGCGATGTTATACAACGAATGCGCGCGGCGCTTAGGCGAGAGCGACATTTTGAAAATGAGCCGCCCTCGATCCGTGAAGCTCTTGCATGTTGTTTAACGAACGCGCACGGAACTTAGGCGAGAGCCACATTTTGAAAACGACTCGCCCTCAATCCGTGAAGCTCTGGCATTGTTTAGTACACGAATGTGCGCGGCGCTAAGGCGAGAAGAGGAGGAGGAGGAGGAGGAGGAGGAGGAGGAGGCTCGAGGAGGCTCGAGGAGAAGGAGGAGGAGACTCGAGCAGGATATGGATCAGGAGTCTTGGGAGGAGGAGGCGGAGGAGGAGGAGGAGGCTCCATGAGGACAGAGCGTGATCAAACACGAACGTTCGGAGGTCCGCGCGGAGTTCTTGGATTATTGCTGGTCACCGCCCACCAAACCACCCCAACCCAACCGAAGGCTTCAATTTGCCCTTCGTTTCCAGCGTGGGGGGGTCGGGGAACATTGAGAAAACACAAATGATGGAACCCATACCCCCCCAATCCGAAATTCGGGTCTTTGGATTGGGTTTTGGTGGTCTGGTAGGTAGTCAGCCGGGCCCCCCTGGCGCGCAGAACTTCGCCACGGCGGGGGTCCAGCTCAGATTGACGAAATGTGCACGGAGATCCAAAAGTTTAGGCCGTTCTTTGTTTCCCCCACTTGGGAGAGGATCTGCTGAAGCCAACGGAAAAAAACACCCATCTATATCCCTGCAAGACGCATTCAAACATAAATGATGCGTGCAGATGCGACCGCGCCCTGGTGCAGGCGAGAAGCCAATCGTATATATTTCCTGCAACGGCGACAATCCATATCTTATTTTTAAATGCGCGCCCCTGGCCTGCGCGGGAGCGCCGCCGTACCTAAACTTATAGATTTTCCCAGCAAGCCCAAGACATGGACCATATCTACTTCTTCACTAAATGATATATACACATATTCGTATGTAGTTTTCAGAGAATGACAGTGCCGCGCCGTATCTATTCGTATCAAATTATGTCAGAGCGGATGCTGTTGGCTGTGCTCTTGGAGCGAACAAAATCCATGATATTGGTCGGAGTAATGAGCAATGGGATAGGGCTAGTGGGAAGCCGTAGCGATGAGGAGTGAGGAACCGAGCGACAACGACAAAAACGACGAGGAGCAGGATGGATAACAACGACGAAACGATTTTGAGGAGAGAACTGAGTAGGAACAGGGAACCGTAGGAGGGGGAGAGCAGAGAGGAGGAGGAGGAGGAGGAGGCGGAGGACGAGGACGAGGACGAGGAAACTGCGTCAAATCGAAAGTGAAAGGGGCGGTGCGGGGTGCGGGCGAGGAGGCTTTAGGAAGACTGGCGGGGAGGTTGACGACGACGTCGCGTTGAGGCAGGAGGAGAGGGGCCCAGGAGACGGACAAATGAAAGACGGAGAGGAAATACGACGCGGAGAATGAGGACAAAAAGTAAGAAGCTCCTGACTGGCATGTGCACAGTCTTCCCTGTTCATGGTCATTGAGCGCCCTAGGCCTGGCAGCGGAAACATGGCGCCGTATCTAGGATTATCCAGTTTTGGTAAACATGTATCCCAACGATGGATGCCACATTGAAACGTATCTAAACCTATCTAAGCATATCTATTCGTATCCGAAGGCGAATGCACACGTTCTTTTTGCGCCGCTCTCCCCTTGTGCCCCAATTCGCTTCGGCGCGCCCCGTCTTTAGCCAGCCCGACTGGCGCATGACGGATTTAGGGGGCCACATGCGAACCCTGACCCTACCCCCCACGATTTCTGAGGGGGAGGGCGGGGTTCACTTCGTGCGGGAGCTCAAGCGAAGTGAACCCCACCCTCCCCCTCAGAAATCGCGGGGGGCAGGGGTAGGGTTCGCATGTGGCCCCCGAGGATTCCGCACCTTTGCGCCCGCTGGCGTGCGAAGTTTTGTTGTGTGTTTGTTCTCATCGATCCTCGAGCTGGCCGCGGGCACGGGAGGGCAGCTCGACGTGGATGGCCTTCTGCGCGCTGCAGCTCCACTTCGAGGCTCTTGGGCGCTGTCGTGGGCCAGCGGCAGTTGCCCGGCTTCCGGATACTCTCAGGACACATCGTAGCCTCGGGAACCGCGGGCCCAGTCTTTTACGAGGGATCGCAAGTTTTGGAACGCGCGCATACAGTTTTTGTGATCATGGCTCCGGGAGCCTGGGCCCAATGGATCTCACGAGAGAGCGGCTTTAAGAGCCCGGACCAAAAGTTGGTCACAAAGATCATGGCTTTGGGAGCGCGGACTTCTTGGTTTTCTACGAAGGGTTCCAGCTTTGAGAGCGCTAATCTAGCGCAGGCGCATTGTTCGTTACGCGGATCGTGGCTGTGAGGGTGCGGAGTCACCGCTTTTCCCCAAATAGCTTTCTGAGCGGGGTGCTGTTGTGGCAGACGGCCGAGGGAAAGGGGAGCACAGACATCCTTCAAACAATGTGGTGGCCAGGGTCAGTTCGCTTGAGACATCCTCAGAACTCTCATGTTTGAGTGGTCTGGGATGGTCAGGGGTAGACTGATTTGCTGTTACAGAGAGGGCTGTTGCCGCAACGTGGCGAAGTGCCTCATTGCGTTTCTTGGAACTGTTCCTGCACTGTTGTTGGAGCCTCTAATGGAATCCGCAAGGAGTGGGGGGTGGCCGATTGTTGCGTCAGACGTCGAAGCAATTGCAGCGCGTGCATTTGCAGTGCGTTGGACGTTGAGTTTCGGCTTTTTTTCTTGCATGTGCGAGCTCACCAGTCTCATCATAGTTTCTCCTTGTAGCTAGTTGGTGACGGATGTATATCATTGGCGTCAACATAAAGATAGCCAGATTCGCTGAGACGTCCAATGGTGTTGTCCTGCTTAGCCGTACGTGTATTGCCGTCGGGGCCAACAGTCAGCATCGCAGTTCAAGCTCCCCATAACATGTGGTGTGGACTCGGTGTTTTCTTGGGCTGTTTCGGACATGAGCTATTCAGAACAGGAAAAACACATACACACAAAGGGTTTTATTGGCTTTACGCCAGAAGGGGGCGTCGTTGAGAGGGTGCCTGGCCCGGATGCGGGGATCGGAGTGGCACGGATGCGAGAAAAGCAGCACGCGGTAGCCATAGCTTATGGTTACCGCGTGTTGCTGTTCTCGAGGTCAGTTGAGCGGACGGCTGACCACCTGCAGTCCCAATGGCATCCCCATGCTGCTACACGCTGGAGCCCCGTGTGGGCTCCCGCCTCGTGTCGACGTGAGGAAGCGCGGCACTCACGCCAGGGCGGGCCACTTGAGCTTCGGCGACGGCCGCGTTCGGAACACGTCTGCGCCCAGACTGCGATTGTCGTTCAATCGCGCGTCCGCATCATCCCTCCTCCTATCCCACCTCCTGCTGCGTCCTTCTCCTCCTTCACACTCCGCACCCTCCTTTTCCCCCCTCCTCTTCCTGCTCCTCCCCCTCCTCCTCCTCCTCCTCATCCTCCTCCTCCTTTCTCGCCTCAGTTATCATCTCCCCCTCGTCCCCTACCGACCTCGACGACAATGGCAAGTCTGACATTGACGTCGACTTCTTTGCTCCTCCTCTCACCCCCCTCGCCCCCCAGGAGTCCTGTCTCCCTTTCGTCGTTGTTTTTCGTCCTTGTCCTACTGCCTCCTCCTCCTCCTCCCTCTCCTCCTCCTCCTCCTCCTCCTCCTCCTCCTCCTCCTCCAACTCCCTCCTCACCCTCCTTGCCCTGCTCTCCTCCTGCCTCTCACCCCCTCCCTCCCCTCGTCCTGATTCTTGCTACTCCACCCTACCTTTTTTTCTCCTCCTCCTCCTCCTCGTTCTCCTCCTCCTCCTCCTCCTTTTTTTCTCCTCCTCCTCATCCGATCTCCCTTTCCTCCTATTCCCTGTTGCATCCCGACCACGACCTCGACCCAAACGACCTCGGTCTTGACGACCCCTTCGACCTTGACGACGACTTCCCCGACCCCAAACCCCAAACGACGACGACGACGACGACGACGACGACGACGACGACGACGACGACGACGACGACGACGACGACGACGACGACGACGACGACGGCGGCGGCGGCGGCGGCGGCGGCGGCGGCGGCGGCGGCGGCGGCGGCGGCGGCCGCGGCGGGTGAGGCGGCGGCGGCGACGGCGGGTGCGGCGGCGGCGGCGTTGATGACGACGACGACGATGTCGACGGCGGCGCCTCCAGGAGGCGGCTCTGCTTGTCCAGCGGGAGCGGCACGAGGCCGAGGCGCCGCCCGCGGGGGCCCCGCACCCCCCGGAGCGTGGTGCCGCCCGCCCTCCTCGCGCAGACCTCCCCCAGCAAGTTTGTCGGGCGGACGGCAGGTGGGCCAGGGGCAACGGTAGGGGGCGGCCAAGAGAGGGGGTGATGATTGGGGGGGGATATCATGGCGGGGGCCATGATATCTCCCCAGATTTCATGGCGCCTCTTCTTATTTCATTACGTTCCTGGCGCACCCCCTCGGCCGCGCACATGCTGCCAGGCATGATGTGCGTCCCCCCCCTTTGGACACTCCCCTCTTGGCCGACCCCGAAACGATAGAGGGGGGGACACGCACAGGGAGGGGCCGAGGCTTTTGCACTGGTTTGAACGTTCTCGTCGGTCCTCGGCGGCCTGTCAGCCTTGGGCCTTGGGATGCGTTTCAGCAGCTGCGCCCCCCCCACGGGCGTTCTGGGAATGCCCGGGTCGTCTCGCACGGTCGCTCGGGAGCCCAGCTATGACCCGAAAACCTCGGGGCAACGTCAGGGGGAAAGCTCTACGCTTGCATATCATGTACATCATCATGTGCAGTAGAGCAGCAGCAGGTGCACGTGCAAGTGCAGAGCAGCATCGGAGGGACTTGACTCCGCTGCCGATTCGGCCCGAACTCTACCAGGGGCCCTTGAGCTACAACGCGCGGTGTGTGAACACAGAGCCGAAGGTTTCTCATGAACGTTGTTGAGCATATTGGTCAACGGCAAAAAGGTTCCGGGAGCTTAGAGCAGTTCGTACAGGTAGCGGGGCCGTTCTCGGCCAGCTTGCGCCCTCCATATCTTCGGGGCCGGTTGGAATATCAGCCCAAACGATGACCACATCTGCAACAGCAACTGCGACGAGGAAGCGACCTATAGTGAGGTCTTCAATTTCATCAGCAGCGACAATTTTCCCTGTAAGACTAAGCCCATCGTCATCGCGATGGTTAGCGAGAGCAGATATGCAGCATCGGAAAAGGGGGTCCCCACGTTCGGCGGCAATGTCAGTAAGTGGAAGTAAGGGAAGCGCTTGACCATGCTCCTGACAAAACTTTCCAGTAACATTGAGGGCGGAACAACCCTCATGCTAACGACGGGCACGTTTGGACAAAAACGTGGGACGAGATAGGCGACATATCGGCCGACGACTTGACCAAGCCAGGCGCGGCATTTAAACTCATGGATGAGCTACGGAAGTGATTCAAAATTGACAACCAGACTGGGCTGGCAGACGTTTGCGAGGAGTTTGCATACAGGCTAAATCGCATGAGGTCCGAGACGACCCTCTCCCATATCCCACGGATAAGCGCAGCAAAGCGGAAACTCAAGACCCGCGACATGAAGCTACCAGCCAATGTGCGAAGGTGGTTAGTTTTACGACAGTGCGGCTACATCTCAGACCCGAAGGCCGTGATCATGTCCGTCGTCGGCAAAAACATCGCCCATGCAGGACAGCCGACGAGGAGCTCGAGACGAACATCGGGCAGGAGAGCACCATCTACGAGCCGAATCATCCACGGACCCAGTATTACGTTGACGAAGGTGAAGGGTTCTCAGAGGTGGATGGGTACCAAGGCCAGGACTACGACGAATTCGTGATCAAGGACGGGCACTAGCAGCAGCACTGGGCCGAGGACGACGAGACCTGGTAGGACTGCGACGAAGCCGACTACCAGCGCAATCCCAACGTCGGCCAGGACTACGAGGTCGGCGAGTGGGACGAAGTCTAGGCGGCCTACGCGGACGCGAGGAAGCGGTTCAACAATTTGTGTCCGTTTCGCGTAATTTCCCCGGCCGCGGCGATGGCAGACCCCAGCGGCAGCAGCAGCGGCCCCTCCCAGACCGAGAGCAAATCAGCCGGACGAGGCAGATTGATTAAAGGGCAGGGGGGGCGATCATCATCCAACGGCAGCGCTAGCGCCAAGAAAAGAGAAGCACACATCCCCTCAATAACCCTTGCTTTCGGCCGCGACCGAGCGCAACGCCGCAAATGGGCGCAGCGAGCAGGCAAGCCCCACGACAATCATACACGCGTCTACGTTGTAGCAAGACGGGGGACGGGGCTCGCGACCGCACGGGGCCGCAGAATGTGGCCTCGCAACGGCGGCAGCACGATGGCAATTGAGGTAAATTGGGACGAGCGGTGGGAGATTACAAAACCAAATCATACCTCAGCGGGGCATCCTGGAAGACTGCGCGACGACGCCCGCGTCGGAGTCGGGAGCCAGCAAGGGCCGCCCGATCGAAGTGCTCAAGCTCCACAGGTGCGACCGGCCAGTCGGGCTTGGGATTGGCAGGGTCAAGCTCGCGCTCTGGCGCGCCGTGATCCCCGCGCGCTACTGGGAGCGCGCGGCGCCGGAGCGGGCGGCCGTCCCGTTCCGGGGGCCCTTGCCGGGGGGGCCCCGAGCCCGCGCCGATTGCGGGGCGCAGAGTTTTTCTCAGAACGCCTCTACGTGGTGGATTTGATGGAGGACTTGGGTGAGATGAGGGGTAGTATGGAGTTGGAATGACAGTGCGAGCCCGAGGCTGCCGCGCAGTTTTCTGGGGCGGGGCGGCGACAGCATCGGCGCCGCCGAGGTCTCCCGCGGCGAGATGTCCCCGGTGACGAAGGAGACCGAACCCGCAGTTGGCGGTTCAACGGAGCGAGCAAGCGCGGATAGCTGGCGCCTGCGCGTTGCCGAGGTTACGCGGGCGCATGGGGCGCGCCCTCCTGCTCGCTGCGTTCCGAGGCTGCGCCAGTGGAGCCAGCGGATGGAGCTGCGCCCGGGCCCGGCAGGTGCATCGAGACGAGGGCGGGGTCGAAGCGCCGGGCCTCAACGCCCGGCTGGGCCTCCAAAGCGAGAGACGGCCGGCATGAGCTTCAAGCGGCGATTCTTGGAGGGCCCCCGGCACCTATGTGCGGACCTCGGCCAGAGATGCAGCAGCTGACCAGTCGCGGGCATTCGGATGCAAGTGGTGTCTCGTGGAGCTGCGCGACTGGCATCATCGCGCGCGCTTCCAAATTCCAGAGGCGGACGGGCGACGCGCCCGCGGCGAGTAGCCCTCTACTTCGAAAGTCTGGCACGCGGCGGCGCTCTCGAAGCTAATGGGGCACTTGGCGGCGCCGGACAAGTGCGCGTCTGGCTTGATTTTACCAGGCAGAAACACACCCGCCGCAATGATGCCGCGATCAAGTCGGCCAAGTAGCTGACGGCGACCATTCTGGCGACGAGATGCGTTCGAGACCGCCGACGCACGACGCTGGAAGGTAGCGCCAACCGCGCCGGCATCGCGCGCGCCAAGTGCGCCCGGAACAACCCCTCTCACGCTCGCAGTCGCGCGGGCTCAGGCCACGGTGGAAAGCAGGGCCGCGGGCGCGTCGCAGGGGCAGCGCCGAGGGCGCCAACGCCGCCGACCCCATCGCGGAGAAGGAGATGGAGACAGTCCGCGCGCATCGGCGACCTCGAACGAGAAGTGCTACAAGGAGGCGCTGCGGTGGGTTGGGCGACTGCATCGGGGTTCGGGCCGCCCTGGCTCGCTGGCCCTAATTAGTTGCCACAGCGCGCGGGCGCCCAGGGCGGCGCCCTGCTATTCCCATCCGCGCATCAACGCGAACGCCGCGCGAATCGTCGGCGCCCTCGACAGCGCCCAGCGCCGGCCCGAAGTAGGCGGCGGTTTTGATGGAGACGTCTACACCGACGCCTCCTAGATTTAGGCGGCCAGCGCGGCGCCCGAGCTCTCGATGGCGGGCGGGGCTGCCCGGCGCCGCGTGCAGCGGCCCATCGAGGCGGAGACGGCGGGCGAGCTAATTTTGGCAGTCGGGCGAGATTGGATCAGACAGCATGGCCCGACGAAGGAGCAGAGGACTGTGGGCGGCCCACGGTTCGCGTCTGAGAGGTCCGAGCAGTTCATGAGGCAGCACGCGCTCTTCATCGCGATCGCGGCAGGCGGAGCTCGCGCCGGCCCGGGGCGGCAAATCGACGCCGCCGAGTGGTCAGAGGGGCGGCCGATTTAACTGCAACGACGCGGTCGAGCGAGGGGCCGACGGTGTCATAGACGCGGAGCCGATCACCGAGGAGCGCGCGCGTCTCATCAGGTGAAACGATTGGCGCTCACCAAGAAACATTCCCATGCCGGTGGGCACTCGGCGCCCTGCGACGAGTTTGACCAACGCGAGCGACAAGTTCCCGCCGGACGCCCACTGCCAGATGAATGAGGACGAGGACTTCAGAGAGTGATGGGGAGGCGCTCGACGGCGGCGACCGCGCGACGACATCCAGGAGCCACTTGCCAAGCGACGTCGCGGCGACACAGGCCCCATGTACAACGGCAGCACAATGCGGAGCGGCAGCGCCATCAGTGGCGCCGCCATCACATTGCAAGGGCCCACGCCGCAGGTCGCCATGCAGCGACGGCGGCAGCACCTCCGGGGGAGGGCCGCGACGTGGGCGCGGCCAGGGGGCCCATGGGTCGGCCAGACCAGGGGCCAATGCTGCCAGCGCTACTACCCGCGCCAGGCGGACACCATGAGACTGCAACGCTACAGCCACCAGCACCACCACCACTCGTAACTTTGGCACGGGCCCCGCTACGGGAGCGCCTGCTTCGACTCGACGCGGCCGAGGCAGCGATCTTCTGGCTGCCCGTGCATCGAGGACCGCTTCCGCCAGGTCCAGCTCGAAGCCCATCAGCTCGTGCTGGAGGAAAGCGACCTACCATTCGGATGGGACTACGGCGGCGCGCATGCCGAGCTCGACGACGTCGACTCGAGTGCGTCCACACTGCGACATGAAGCCCGACAGTGACGTGAATCCGAGGAGTTCTTCGGCAGCGACATGGGGGGGGGCTCTTGGGGCCGGCCGGCCAGATTGCACCAGCGTGGATCCTGAAGGTTAGACGAGCACTCGAGGGGGCGAGAATGACAACGGTTTTCGCAGTGCGAAAGCGTTTCTTGCATTGCAAGGATTCAACGACGGAGTCACCGGCAGCGTCGGCACTGGCACGCCAGCTCGGCCCAGT